AAGCCCGTGGGCTAGTCCCCGCCGGGCAGCCTTGTCCCCGGGGCTGCAGCTGTGCTTGCGCGGGTCGCAGCCGGCTGACGCTCCCAGCTTGCCGGAGGCAGCACGGCCAGCCCCGCGCTGCGCTGGCAGCTGTGCCCCTGTCGCCCCTTCAGCAGCGGATGCCGTTCAGGGGCGTGCGGAGCCAGGCCGAGCCCCAGCGCCTGGGTGTGCCCGCGGGGTCGGCCCTGGGGCAGGGGCAGCTGCTGGAGGCTGCTAGACGTGGGGGGGCAGAAGCGGGGCAGCATCAGTCCTGCAAAGATGTGGGCAGGCGGTTAACTTGAAGCAAAGTAAATACAGTAGAACCGGATTTTTTTTGTGGGCGGGGGGGAGAATGGTTCACCACTCCTTCAGTTTCTAACACTTGGCTAAATTAAGGATAAGCAGCTCAGCTGATTGCTGCAACTTTTACTTCAAAGGGTGCTTTCTCTACTCAGCTGGAGCATCTCAGCAATCCCAGGCAGCTGTTTGCTGTGGCTGTATCATGCTCTAGTAAGTTTACAAACCCCGTCTTTGTACAGCTAACCCTGCAATGAATTTATAGTTCTGCTATACTTCAAGTGACTTTCCTGGCAGTGCTCCCTTGAATAAAGCTAAACAGGATGTTGGATTAAGTAGAACAGAAAGGGGAAATAGTCAAGTTCTTCTGCAGAACCAGGGGAAAAATATCAAAACCATATTGACGGAAAAAAATAAGGATTCTGTAATGCATTGGCCTCAAACGCTGGAAAAGAAGTTCCCAGTATTTATTGCACAAGTGTGATCTAGATATCATTTCTAAGAAAAAGTCATGACAGAAAAAAATATAGCAGTGCTTCATTGGAGAAAATATAGGACTTGCACACACTGCACTTTTGTAATAATGCAATCAGCCTTTACACTGGTGTAAACAAGGAGTGGACACATGACCTACAGCTTTCTACTGATGTAACGTGCATGAATTTGGTATAGAATTGTTCCAGAAATGTCAGGACTAAAACCAGTTCAATGTGCACACATCAACCCAAGACATTTAGTGTGGAGTAGACTAATAAGTTCTACAGTAAATGTCTCACATTTGCACGTGTGACCATTGGCAACATGCAGGGGTTGCACACGAGTGGAAATGCCAGCTGCAAAACTGGAAGTGCTGGCAGAAGTGTAATTCCAGTTTTGCCACTGGTGATTTAGGGCTTGGTGATCGGCTGCTAGGGAACACGGTCAATGATCTGGTGTCCCCCTCCAGACTCGCGACCCTGTTAGAGCACAGGAAACGAATAAATTCTGCAACAGGGTAGTACTTGTAAATACACTACCCTACTGTGGAGTTTTTTACTCCGCAACAGCGCACATGTAGATGCTGATGTGGCTGGCTGGGGCATGAGGGTGCTTCAGTGCTGGGGCTGCCTGCCAGCTACTCATGCACTGCAGCACCCTCGTACCCCAGCCAGCCCCTCCGCAGCACATTGAACTAGGTTGGAGCAGCTCTGAACTGGCAGGCTGAACCCAGGGGCCCCTGCCAGTCAGGGCTGCTCCAGCCTGGCTCAACATGCTGCGGTCCCAGGCACATGTTCCAATGTGGCACCAGGTGAAGGAGCAGTGGGGAGGGCAATAAACTCCAATTTCACCTTAATAGCATGTGTAGGCTCACCCTGTAAGTGGCTATCCTAGGTAATATCATGTCTGCTTATAGTAAATGGTTGCCTGGCTTTTCTGCCAACCAATGGTGAGGTACTGTAATAGTACCTACTGTGAGAAGCTATCCTGGAATTCCTAGTTGTCCATTTATTCAGGACACTGATATAACTGATACTGATGGAAAATGCAAATTATATTAAATGTGTCACATGTCCAGGGCTCCCGGAAAATAATCTGCCAATCAAAAAAAAACAGCTTCATGAAATCTAAAAAGGATTAACCACTATTTAGAAATCTATGGGGTTTGATAACAGAGACAGGTTTTAACGTAAGTTTGAATCCAGAGTACATCCACGTCCAGACTTTGATAAGACAGAATCTGAGAACTTGATCTCTGGTTAAGGTCAGGCCTTTCTCTTCCTTGTTCAAAGCATTTAGTAAATTCCAGCTAATCACCAGCACATCTCAAGCACAGCAGTAAACATGTGTATTCCTATTTTACAAATAAGGAATTGGACCAAAGGTATGTGACCTGGTAAAGCGCTGGGTGGAAATCATTGTTTGATGTCATGGCCATTATCTGTGGCCAACAGCAAAATGACAACTATCTGAGAAAGAAGTTGCTACTGCTTTGTTCTTGACATGAAACATTTTACAAATATTTAAGGCTTTATCTACCCATGGAAGTTAGAATGCACTAACCTACAGCACGGCTTTATAGTTCACCAGCTATTGTATAACATCTGTTACCGAGGAAACTATTAATATGCACCATTGGTGACTCTTTGGCTGCATACAGATGTTCATTTCTACCAGGAGCTGGAATATACATGCATCCCAGCCCCATGGCTGGGGAGTTACACAGGTGACATCCCCAGCCTGCAGGCCCTAGAGGGCTGCTCCCTGGGCCACCTGTGTCTTGGAGAATCCTATTACTTGACAGCCTGCCCTCTCCCCTGCTTGGGAACTGGGCAGACTGTCAGTAGGCTTTTCAGTTGCCTGGTGTGCAATGCTGGGTGCTTTAAAGCTGGAGGTACAGAGAAGGAAGGGCAGGGACAGCTTCCCCAACCCTGGCTTCTGGCTCTTCAGCTTTTAAATCATTGCATGTGCCACCCAGCTGGGTGTCACATTTAAAACCAGGGGTGGGGTGGGGGGGGTGTAAAATGGGGTGTTGATAGCTTCTCTGACCCAGGTTCCCAGTACTCCCTGGGCTTTGCAGTCCCCATCCCTGCTGCCCAGCTAGGTGACAAGGGCAGCATTTGAAACCCAGGGACTAAGAACCAAGGTTGAGGACAGCCTCCCTGTGTCTGGAAAGGAGAAGCTAGAGGGAATCAACAAAGCCCCCAGCCTCTTCTAGCTTGGGACCGCCCAATTTAGGGAAAAGGCAGGGAGCAGGAAAGCAGCATAGCAAAACCCACACACCCACTCCTCAAACCGGGGACACGCAGTGTATCAAGAGCCAGCAAGGAGCAGATAGTGGCTGCTCCTTCACTTCCTTCCCACTTTACAGGAGGGATGGAAACAGCTGCGCTCCTTGTGCCTTACCCAGACCAGGGTGACCCTGATCTCTGAAAGGCATGAGAGCCTTTCCCAGAAGGATTTAAGCTGCAGGGAAGTAAGTGTACAAGCATTCATTTTCCTGGGATACAAATCTCCCTGGAACCACTTCTACTTGGTGGGAGTTGGGTTATTTTTCTCCCAGAACCTCTATTTTTGGTGCAGGAAAAACATTATGAACACTTGCACACTTGTGGTTTCTACCGTAATGCATGCAGTGCAGCAGCCAGTGTGCTGTGAATTTGTGCTTACTGTATTCCAGCTTCTAATTATAGACAATCCCAAATTCTCCAGAGCCCTACAGAAAACTGTTTTACTGCCTTTGAAGATGGATAAACTGGAATTAGTGAAGGCAAAGTATAGTTGATAAATTGATTCCCAAGTCACTAGATAAC